TTACCCCACCCTACCCCACCCCCTACTGCGTTCTAACTTAATGGTGGAGGGTTGGGGAGAGTTGGTTGACCGGGAAGTATTTTGAGGAGACAATTCAGTTTCTTTTATTTGGTTGGCATGTGCAAGCGTAGCGGGCGAAAGTGTTTACTCTCTGAGAGAAGAGAGATCACGAAGTAAAGATCCCTTTTACACTAAAATAAAAACAAACTAGTTTGTCCGTATTTCACTTACATTACTTACTCTTTTCACTAACAGGAAATATCTTTTCCTTTATTTCCTCGCTTTGTTTGAACATGACGAGAAGTTATAGAGACACATCAGCAAAATGAGTGCGCTTGCTTTTAATGTGCGAGAAATTTACACACGCGAAGGAATGGGAATAGCAATATTCCTGTAGTAACACTATTGCAGCAAAATGGCGGTATTTTTCGAATTTCCGTTGTTCAAGTTGTTTTTATTTTGTGGGGGTAAGCTCAAACAAAAACAGGAAAGTTACCGTTTTCAGGAAGAAACAACAAAGAAAATGTTGTGCTAACAGGTGTTATGTATGCATCAGTGGTCTGTTGGGATTTCAATCGCCTGAACTTACAGCTCGTGAAGAACCATTACCATCTTAAGGAAATTGTGAAAGTTCCTACACGGAAAAATGCTACTTTGGATATTATCCTTACAAGCCTTGCAGCTCATTACGACCTTCCTGAGGCTTTCCCCCCTTTTGGTCTGTCTGACCATAACACAGTGATAACACCCCCAAAGAACAAGGAGGGGCCAGAAAATACTACTAATTTCATACTCAGGCGTGATTTGTGTCCTAGCTGTAAGGCAGAATTGGGTCGTTACCTGAGCAGCATGGACTGGCACGGACTATTTAACGGCCTCCAACGTTGCGAGGAACTACTTGGCGTGTTTCAAGAAGTGATTACTACTGGTCTAGACATTCTCATGCCACTAAAAAGGGTGCGGATCAATACTCGTGATGCCCCTTGGATGAGCAGCCAATTAAAATCGCTTATTATGAAACGACAAGTGGCTTTCAAGGAGCACGGAACAGACTCAGTTCAGTTTAAATTCCACAGAAACGCAGTAGATCGCAAGAGGAAATAGTGCAAAGCAAACTTTTATGAGACAAAGGTAGAGCAGATGAAGAAGAGCGACCCTAAATCGTGGTGGAAAGGTTGTTTTAATCACGATTAATGACCTAGCAATTAGTAATGCATCACTTTGGAAAAACGCAGACGACACAACGACATCTGAAGTAATTAGGAAAGGACAGGTGAGTGAGCAATGCGCAAACTATAGCAGATAAGGTAGCGGACTGGTCCAACAGAAATAGAGTCAAACTAAATACTGACTAATGTTAGGAGCTTCGCTTTTCTTTTGCTTCAGTTAGTCATGATTTTCTTCCTGTTGTTATCGGAGGAGAGTGCATAAAGGTTGTTACTGATGCTAAACTCTAAGGAGCAACTATTTCAAGTGACCTATCTTGAAACGCGCATATCACAGAAGTGATAAAAAAGGCAGCTAAGAGGCTCTATTTTCTCATCCAGCTTAAAAGAGCCCGCGTTTCTCAGAAATATCTTCGTCTTTTCTACATCACATGTGTGCGCTCCGTTATCGATTATGCTGTACCTGTGTTTCATTACGCTCTGCCTGCCTACTTAATGCAAGAACTAAAGCGCGTTCAGAAAAGGGCAATGCGAATCATTTGCCTTGGCATGGAATATCAGCAAAAGTTAGCGCTAACGAATCTACCGTCAGTAGCGGAGCATCACAGTGATATTTGCAAGGGTACGTTTGAAAGTATTTTCAATGACAGCGGCCATAAACTCAGGAAATTACTGCCGCCCCTACATGAGAGCAAGTACAATCTTAGAAACGCGAGAACCTTCAACATACCGCACTGTAAAACAAACAGATTTAAGAATAGTTTTTATCATGGCCTCATGCGCCCCAAGTGAATACTTTTTAAATTATTAGGCTTTTAACAATATGATTTCAACACGATGTTTATAGTTTTTAAATGTTTTAGATATTACTATCATTAGTTCTTAGGTATTATTCAATGTGTAAGTTTGCACATTCAATTTCAATTTTAATGAAATTACGTAATTCAGCTCTACGAGCTGCGATGTATTTTAGTAAAGAATCTATCAATCTGACGCTAAGTAGTTATTTTGCAAGTGATATTCCCCAATTTGAAACCTTACGTCTGCTGCGATAAAAGCTTTCGTTTAAAATTTATTTAAACATGAAAGAGCGTTACATTTTTTTATATAGGACAACAACAACAACAACAACAATTTTATTCGCACCCAAATATGATACAATAATAATAATAAACAGAATATATCAATAAAAGATGTAGAGGAGTACTAGCTACCCCAAATAACCATAAGGGCTAGAAGAAAAGGGCAGCTATACTTAGGTAATTTATCTAATACAATGATTTAGGTCAGATATAACATACACAAACACACACAGACATAACATACACACACAC